GGCGCATTTGCAGAACGCCGAGCTGCTTTTGATATTGTTCGGAAGCAGTTTCCGCCTTTTGAAGCTGTTCCCGCAGTTCCTCAATGAGGGCGGCATTCTGAGCCCGCGCCTCTTCTTCGGAGGGGTCGTTGGAAACTCGTGGTACGTTTGACATGCTGAGATTGGAGCGGCCAGGTTTTCTTGCAGCTGCGCGCGCGGAGACGGGAGTTGAACCTCTTAAGGAGGGGGAACGGTTGAGACCGTTGGTTGCGCTGGGCGAGCGTGCATGCCCTCGTGTGGACCCGTTGTTGGAGTGCGGATCTGCGGTTGATGATTTGCTGGAACTGCCGGGAGTTCCAGGCTTTCGAGGCGTTGCTGACATGGTGAAAGGGGCCAAGTCCGACGCTGGTAAATGTATAAGAAAAATAAAACGTATATAACCCCCTTATTATACTTCAATGGCGGGAGAAAAAAGAAGATTTCAAGGGTTGCAAGTGTAATTAAGAGCGGTCAAAGCCTAGTGGACACCTTGTGGAGAGCGCTTGTATGGGAAGATTGAAGGCCAGGAATGCGGTTGAAAGCTGTCACAGATTGATTGCGTGCCACATGGTTGGTCGAAAATGGAAATTCATCGGAAACAATGGCATGAAATTCGGAATGAGAGAGGAATTGAGAAAAGTGATGGTTGCAGACCTTAAATCAAAGTTGCTCTTGGGAATGCGGATCCCCCTACGGAGTACTGTATCTAAAAATACGCAACGGCTTTGGGGGCTGGAGCAATACGAGAGGACTTGCTGGAAGAGGAAAGGGAAAATCTCGAGGCTGTGAAGTAAGGAGATCGTGTAACTTCCAACGTTGGATTTATTGTCAGGTTAACTATCGTTGACTGCATGTGTTGACATGGCATGAGCCCATGAAAGAACCAATACAAGCGCATTTAGCCCGTTCCGGAAAAGGAGATTCATCACGCCTGAGGCATGACACCGGAATAACATACTTCCTTCTCCACAATTATGTAATTGAGATCTCCAACCTTGGAACCCGCCAGGTGGATCCATAGTCTCACAGAAATCTGACCCACTCGGCCTCAGACCTTCACGGAATTCTGTTGATATGCTCCTTGAGATGACATTCTCCATCTGAAGGAGCGGGATGCATAGCGATGCGTGGTATGATTCTCCCTAAGGCTACTCCCGCGTATATACCTAGGTAAGTTCGAAATACTATGAATAACCTGGCTAGGTGGGACGCCCTCCCGGTTCACCACTCCCTATCTTCCGGCAGAATATCAAGATCCCTCAGTGGGACGCCATAGTGCAAATAGGAGAAAGCAGAATATTCCGAGTCGAATCATGGCGGCGTGTAGCATCCACCTCGGCATTGTCTGCAGTGTCTGACTACTTCATGAAGGGGTAGTTGGAGAGGAAAAGAAGTCTGGTATAAGAATCTGGAATAAGAATTATACGTCTTTCTTGACCTTCCTTATGTCCATTCTCGGTGACGCAAAATTACATGTTATTTGCTACTAAGTCTTGGATGGGAAGTTGGGTGCCCCTCGCCCCTCTTATCTTACAGCCAGTTCCATCACACACCCTAAACAACCAACGACCAGCGCACCGTCAGGAGCGTTATGAACAACCAACGACCAAAGGACGTCAGAAGTGTCATAAACAAAATCAACGACTCTGTATTTCAAAAGCCAAAGGCACAAGATGATAAAGGCCTGGAAGAGGAAGCGAAGTCCTTATTGGTTAGAATCCTGGATATTTTGCGTGCTTCAACTGCTTACCTTTCTCCTTATAGAATGGGAAGGCCGTCATTCTTGAAAATGAGTATTTTAACGTGAAAGTTTTAGATTCAAGTACCGCCCCTGCGGTCCTAATACACGGAGACGAGGGAAAGGGCTACATCCACTCGTGCCTTGCTGAGGGCAGCATTGATATACTTGCGACAGGCCTTAAACCAGGAACTGGCCAAAAAATTCTCGTTCTGAGTGATGGACGTACTGGCCTCGTGTTTAGAAATGTAATAATGCGACGTTTCCTTCCAAGGTTTCCGAGCTGCCTGATGTCTAGAACAGCTAAAGATACCGAATGAAGGAATAACACAATTCCCTCGATACCTCGATGTTAACATTTGACAGGGAGGCAATTGAAGGTCGATATGGTCATATGGAGGTGCCGAATTGTCGAGAGAGTACGAAAGTTGTAGGTTAGGCCCACTAGTTCAAAGCAGCCCGCCTAAAGCTTGTAAATGAGGGAAATGGATGTGACACGTATGGAGAAAGCCCATGAGTTGGGAAGGAAGGAAGGATATTGGCTCTTTGTCAGTAATGTCTACTGTAGAAGTTCCGAGCGAGCCTTTGGCCTATTAGCATGTCTATGAAACCACAGTCATTTATAGATAAACCTGAATTCCCGGAAACTGGGAACTGCGCGCCGAGGCCACTCTTAGTCCTATCATTATCTGCAATCCATCCGTCAGCACGATCCTAATAAAGCAAAGAATGGAGAGACCCCACCAAATTCTAAGAGGACATTTTGAAATTCGGTGGGCTGGTCAATTGGGCTCCTTTGCGGTGTCGGCTCTGTAGGAGAGAGATAGACGCCCTCTTCTGTTTGACACCTCGCGGCCTCCTAAAAGTTTTACTCTTTTTTCGCTCTTTTGCGAAAAAGGAGAAAAAATTAGTATAATGCGTTCAGCAAGTGGAAGAAATATCTATGTTTTACATGCACGAGGCTTTCTCTTTCGTGGTCCAGCTCATGAATGAGCTCAATCGCGCGTGATTCGAACTTTCGAGAGGGTACATTATTCCGCCACCAATTCTCAAGTCAAGATCTTCTCTCTCCTGCTGTCCCTGCCTACCCTCCCTACCTGGGTAGCCCCCTTTCTCACGCTCATAACTATTTTGCCGCACCCAAACAATTACCTAGGTATTACTTATGTTTATCTTCGCCAAAATACTGACTCCTACGACTACAATTACATGTGTCTTGATTCGCCATGAGTCCTCTCAAGAACATAACTTGGTTGGCGAAGGACTCGACGCTTATATCTACCACGTCACTCCAACTATTGTGATAAAACTGTCCGTTGCGACCGAACGCCTGAAGAAAAGGCAGGGGAGTATCCTTTCCTCAAGGAGCTCGCGTTTTTCAAACGGCTTAATGAGGGCCAGAGTCGATGTCAGAATATTGTTGAATGTTTTCTCATATTCCCCGACTATCTTTTCTATCATATTGCCCGAAAAAGGCAATCACCCCTCGCTTTTACGAACGACAGGAGCGAGAGACAGGAACAAATGGTTTTCAAGGGCGTCTTATCAGAGTCAAAGGATACGAGGATCCTGCTCTCATCGCTCGGTGGATACAACAGCTCACCTCAGCTCTTGAGTATGTGGAGAAATTGGGCTTTTGTCAGAATGATCTGCATGCAAGTAACTGTCGTCTTGACAGGAACTTCAACTTGAAACTGACTGGTTTTGGTCGTGCCAGCACCATTGGACAACCACTTGAAGGTGCCTTACCTCCCCGGGCCCAACCAATACTTGCCGGTCCATGGAAAGGCACCTACGGTCTCTGTTACGCCAGAACTAAACAGTTTGCGGTTTGGACACTACTTTATGGTATATGGCCATGAACCGTACGACGACGTTATCCTCAGCGCCGCGGAATGGGATCGCCGGTTTGGGGAAATGGAGTTTCCAGAACTTAACCACAATGAAGTTTTCGAAGATTTTTTTTCTTCTTGTTGGCACAATGTCTATCCTACAATGGCCTTTCTAGCGCGACTTCAAGCGCAAGACAAAGGATATGATCCAGGACACAGAAAACATCTTCATTGACTCTGCGAAGGAGACAAAGGCCTGTCAAGCACTGATCCGCAGAGGCTTGCTGGGATCTGAGTTAGCTCTCCGCTTTCAGCCAGCCTGGCGAAGATACCTACATGCTATTGTGAACAGCGGTATTTCTATTTGGCAATTCTTTCTACAGAGAAGATTCTGGATCTGGTCTTGATGATCCGCTGGGCTTGTACCATTTGACAAAGCTGAGGTGCTTAGACTCGTAGTCTTTACCCGAAAATATGACATGTTGTCGTACGCTGGTTGTTTCATTCAACTTCGCGGTTTTCAAACAAGGGGTGCTCTTTTCTTATTCTATTCCCTAAGAGAATATTCGGCACCTATCTTCTGGGTAGCTAGACTCATAGGCTATCCCGTTTATTGATCTGTCCGGACTCCCTGGTACGACGTGAATCTACAGTATTCTCCTGGGAGTACTACTTGTCTTCCTAGGAGTGCCAGTTATCGGCTCACAGGAATGAACTACATATGTATATACGATCCCAGAAGTGTCACTGCTCTTTCCTAACTTGATCAACATCAGCACCCCATGGCACATTCCCCAAGAACAAACTCTGGTTCTGATTTCCCGGTTGCTCCGCATCGAAGTCCAAACGGTCAGTGATCCTCAAACAGCTGGGAAATCGTATCTCACCAACCATGTCGATACCCCGTCCCGGTATAGCCAAGGGTCCTCTGTCCATCGCTGTCATATTTCCAGTCTCGTCCTCATATCGTATCATTGAGCACAGCAGCCTGTTTCGGGTCTTTGACAAGATTGGCCACCTCGTTCGGACCGTTCTTCAAATCATACAGCTCTTCAGGTGCGCGGGAAAAAGTGAGCCTTGAGCTTTCTCCCTCCGGTCATAATCTCGCTATCTGACGAGTTCCGAGGTGTGGCAAATTCTCACTCCTCTTTCCTATACTGGTCTAATTGAATGACAGGCGTCATTTGCTCGAAGGATGACACAGAGATGAAATATCAGAGAGAGTGAAGGGATTTGTATTCTGTAAGAGGAGACAAAATCCAAGAAGTATCTTGAGGTCTGCGTAAACGAGGAGCGCCTGTAGACGACCTGAGCAGCCAGGCAACCACGAACACCCATCCTAACAAATTCCTGTCAAGATCTCATAAATCCATCGCTAGTCTCCTCGCTCACAATCCCCATAACAAGGCAATCTACCAGCCGAACTCGACCAACGTGTTCTCATCGTCCACAAGCTTTCCAAATAGTTCTTTTGGCGAACCCTCAGTAGCAGCCCGCAGGATAGGCCGAGCCCCCTCCTCTGCTGATTTAACGCCCTGGCCACCTCCGAAGTTGGTGCGACAGAAGCCTGGGGCAGCTAGAACAGCGAGAATGTTCTCCTTCTCGAGATTGATAGCATTAACAGCACTAATCATATTGAGCGCAGACTTGCTACCACGGTAGACGGGCAGCTCCCACATCTTAGCATTATATTCTGAAGTTGGCGAGTACGCGATGCCAATTTGACCAAGGCCGCTCGTTACGTTCACAATACGTCGGTCATGGTACTTCGAGGCGCGTAGGAGTGGTAGGAAAGTTGCAGTCATCACTGCCACGCCGAATACATTTGTTTCAAACACAGCTCGGTAGCTCTCACGTAGAGTAGCGTTTGGGTCGGACGATCTGTTGATGCCGGCGTTGTTGATAAGAATATCCAGCGATCCGAAACTCTCTTCAACGAACTTGGCCGCGGTAGTGATAGATTCGTCTTGGTCAAGGTCGATAACAATGGGCGTCAAAGAGCCATCAGTGCTAGACTCTTGCAGTTGCTTGACTGCACCTTCGGCTTTTTCCTGGGAGCGGGCGCAATAAGAAGATTATATTGGCTAGTGCGAGCGAGCTGTTGTGCTGTCGCGAATCCCAGGCCCTGGTTTGCACCAGTGATCAGAATCAAGGGCTTAGTGACGGCGGCCATGGTGGGAATGTCTGTGTCTAAGGGATGAAAAGTGTTGTAATGTAATTGTCAATTTTGAAGGAAGGCAATGGATGGCATCTTAATTAGTACCTGATATCAGATATCACAAACAGAGAATTGGTCTTAACGGAGTTTAGGATGCATCCCACTTCGGACTTAATCGGACTTAGAATTTCTAAGTCACGATCCCTGCAAGTTAGGTGGGAGCTCGATTCCTGATTTCCCGAAACATTGCCCAGGTGGTTCGCTGTTGTGATTTTTCGATGCACCATCTGCCTTGTTTGCGGCCAGGGAAAGGGACGGCATATCTCCACAATGAATAAATGCGGATTACATCCCTTCTCATTGTATTCCATAATCAGTAATTTGCTAAACTCAGAGATCATTGAATTGGCTTTTGTTTGAATCTAATCATGGCTGAAGTGAAAAGCCCACCCTGCCTATGTTCTGGCAAAGGTATACTACGTGCGTAGAGACCAATGGAAGAAGGCTCAATGGGACAAGTTCACACCAGAGGAGAAGGCAACTTATCTGAGCGCTACTATCGATCAAGGAAATAAGCGATTAGACTTTCAGTTCCATAGTTGAGCACTATTCCCAGGTGATATCTGCTCCATCTGTATTTAGAATTAGACCTCACTATAGTGTTTCTTTCTTCTTTTCTCCTCACTATACATGGTACGTCCGGTGGAAAGGAATGTTTCGGACCCAAAAGGCTCTCTGTATCATTCCAAGATCAGCTATGTTGCAAATCTATATAAATGTTCCCAGACATATGAATGTACATATCTATGCCTCATTCCTGCTATCAAGGAGAGGATCGCGCTCTGATAGCCCTGGCTTATTCTCTGCCGATCGCTCTCGATACAGACAAAAGTGCTGAAAGATAAAGACTAGATCGAATAGAACGGTGATGTTGCCCAGCAGGAGCTTGGCAATGTTGCCAATGACGCCTGACCAGTCCGACTGCAACGAGGAATCCAGCACCAGCTGCATCAGCGACAGAATGGCACCGGACAGATCTAGCAGAATCGCCGCGATGGAAAACCCTGTCGTCGACTGCCGCCGATAATTCATCACCGCCTGGGGGGTGTATTTGACGGCCGTCAGGAACACCTTGATCATGCTGACCACGTACACCTTATGGAACAGTTCAGTCAGCACATGTTAACTCTAGAGCTAGTTAGTGATCCATGGAGCAGGTTCCCCTCTTACCACATCAATCCATTCCCACGACGACGACACCATAACCCACAGAACGGCGAGGGGGACCACCCCCAGGCAGCCCCAGAAGAGCACGAGAGCCAACGTACTCGCCCGCTGCAGCTTGGAACCAAAGTTCCAGAACCGCGCGCAGAGAAACTGGCTGCCGGTCCAGCAACAGATCAGCGTTCCGTGCAGGGCGTAGACGAAATCGTTGGATTGGGCAGTTGGTTCAGGGCTCTGCGGGTGTCGCTGGGCATACTGGGCACGCACGACCGCCGAAAAGAGGAAGCAGGCATTGAAAACTGTGTATGCAGACAATCCGAGCACGTTGAGCAGAGCAAAGTCAATGGAGAAGCCATCTGTTGAGCGGCGGCGGTGATTGTGTAGGACTTGTGGATAGAAGGACAGCGACCACAGGACGAAATAGGCCCAGCCAAGTACTTGAGAGATGCTTTCTGTCCAGGTGACATTCATCGTGAAAATGTTAACGTGGATAGAATTGGTCTCGATGGGAATTGAAGGATCGTCCGCATTCCAGTCTTCGGAATAGATCCCGGAGTTCGGGGTAGATAGCCGGAGTTCAGCCTCAAAGAGCGTCAACAGTTATGAGATCGACACGGCTATTGTTCCAGGTATCTAGATAAGCACTAAATCTACACAGTTACGTGTCTCATTCTCCTCTTGCGTAGGATCCTATGGAAAGTCATTTATCATGGACTCTTATGACGGCGCTTCTTAGGCGATTGAAATCGAAACTAACCTGACTTAGGATATCAGAACATACAATTACCAAAAAAAATACGTTAAAATGCTGCTTCATCGTGTTAGAGAAGTTTGCGTTCGCAACGGTTTGAAACTCTTCACTTCATGCCGGGTCCCTCGCATACGACTCTTGGATAAAAGCGAGATGCTGATATAGGTCATAGGGCATTTCCTGATGCAATGAACAACTGAGCAGTTCCCGTACAGAACTCACCGTATTTGTCTTCAACAACTCCGAGCATGGAGATCGTCTCTTGGGTGTAAGCGAGTTCGGCAACATCTAGTTAGTTACAGCTACATTACTAATATAAGAATAAGCATCGCCCCAAACGATGACATCCAGCTGACCAATTCTGTCACTCCTAGCCCACAGTGAGCGTGTTCTAGAAGCACATGGTGGCTGGGAGTGGCCGCGTTTGCAGTGGAATTGCGGACGGCCACCATCTCAACGACATTGGCGTCGGAGATAGCATCGTCGCGATATCGACGGTCAATAGAGGCACGTACCATCAGTTCAAAGTCCTCGCTCCGAAATTGACTGTTTATTTGTGACCTCTGATGACCTCAAGGACTGTCGAGCCTTGACTGATAAGAAGGCCATGTTCCTCCCAAGATTCCAAGGTTACGCGACTAGGTCGCATCCATACCTGCATATGTGGGTAGAAGTCAGTCTACTTTTTACTTTCTTCTTAGCTATATCTAGCAAAGGACTTGTCATTTGTATCTTAGTGTTGAGTCGATGAATTTTTAGCTTCTCAAGCGAGCCAAGATATGGCTCGAAGTATGCGAGACAATAAAATGGAAATAATAATGGATCCTTTCAAGTGCACATGGGCATCAAAGACACCTCGGGAGAGTCGGGTGCCCCATTTATCAGCACGATAAAAGTGGACCAAAACGGGATTAGTGGGGCAAGTTTTGGGCCAATCAAAAGGCTAAAACTTGAACCTGGCTCAGGGGCCTGAGCGCTCAGGCATTAATAGGGTTAAACCCTTTTGCCACAGAGTTGATTGGAAATCAAGACCCGTGACCACAGCGAAACCCTCTTTTCTCTTTCTCCTTCCGAACCCTCGACAACCACCGACAAATACCCAGTTCGCAGGAAGTGCCATCACCACCCTTCGAACACTCAAAATGGCCCGTCGTCCCGCGAGATGTTACCGCTACTGCAAGAACAAGGTGCGTGCCGATTTCGATTTCGTGAGCTTTTGAAGATTTGTGCGGGTTATCTTTGGTGGGGAGTGTACATCAATACATCGCCAACGACCACTTCGCCATGACCGGAATATCACCTTTGCTATGAGGAGTGATTCTCGTGGCACTGTCTGTGCACTTTTTTTCGATCTTTAATTTTAAGATGGGCGGTTTTCGCTGACATCAGTCTTCGACATGCAGCCTTACCCCAAGTCCCGGTTCAACCGTGGTGTTCCCGACCCTAAGATTCGTATCTTCGATCTTGGTCGTAAGAAGGCTAACGTGGATGACTTCCCCACCTGCATCCACTTGGTTTCCAACGAGTACGAGCAGCTGTCCTCCGAGGCTCTCGAAGCCGCCCGTATTTGCGCCAACAAGTACGTCACTCGATCCGCTCCCATCTCGTCTGACATCCATGGACACAATCTCATATAACTTTTAATAGGTACCTTGTGAAGATCGCCGGTAAGGAAGGTTTCCACCTGCGCGTCCGTGTGCACCCCTTCCACGTCGTCCGTATCAACAAGATGTTGTCTTGCGCTGGTGCCGATCGTCTGCAGACCGGTATGCGTGGTGCCTTCGGTAAGCCCCAGGGTCTCGTCGCCCGTGTGAACATTGGCCAGATCATTCTGTCCGTCCGCACCCGTGACGCCCACCGTGCTACCGCTCTCGAGGCCCTCCGCCGCTCTCAGTACAAGTTCCCCGGTCGCCAAAAGATCATTGTCTCCAAGAACTGGGGCTTCACTCCCGTCCGCCGCGAGGAGTACGTCCAGCTCCGCGAGGAGGGCAAGCTCCTCCAGGACGGTGCCTACGTTCAGTTCCTCCGTGGCCACGGTCCCGTTGAGCAGAACATGAAGCGCTTCCCCGTTGCTTTCGAGAACGTCGCTTAAATGGTTGATGGGTTGATCAGAATATGAAGTTCAGAACGAAAATACTTGAATGTTCTTATTGTCTTTACAACTTGTCCCATTTATCTTGATATCAATATCGTGCAATCGCAATGATGGAGTTCTTCCAGGGGTCTTTTCATTTGCCCGCCTATATTGCACTGTAGAACTGCTCATCTGCCTGCGCAGTACCGTAACTATGTAATCTTTTCGTTCCCGGCCCTGGAGTAGGCACACTAGGCTTTTCCGACTTTGCACGGATCATGCGAGGTGCGGTCATTTGGTGGATATCAACCGTATCTCCAAAATAGCAAAACTAGCGGAGGTCTAGACCCCCAACTCCATAATGGGCTTTTTTCGATGATCAGAGAAGATAGAATAGTTAGGGCTAGAATATGGGTCATGTCACAGTCACAAGGCTGCATAACATTGTCCTTCGAGCTGCATTATTTGTTCTCTCGAGTTTTCAAGTCGCATGCACGCGGATTATTAAAGATGGGCGTTATTCGAGCGCAAGAAATAAAAACAGACGGAAGTTAGTCTTATGTGTTCGGGGTATATATTCCGTGGATGCATTCTACATCTACCAACAACATTGGACTAATCAGATCTACGTTTGCTATTAGGAATTAAATTAAGTCATTCATTTTTCTTTACCCATTGCTATGTCCATTCCCTCGAAAAGAAGATCAGATGGACATCAAATTATATATACCCTCTTTATTGAGGCGGCGATTCTCCACAACGTTCCTTATGCAATTCACCAGCAACTAGAAAAGAAAACAATTAGCCCAAGTCTCCAAACCATCCGAAACATGCGAGACCAGTTAGAAAGTAGATAGCAACAAAATTGGAATGGGGAGGAGAATATACCTTTGAAGTCTGCCGGGCCACCAGAAGCGTCCAAACAGGCACCGAGCGCATCCTTGAACGCTGGGCTTGGGCAAGTGCACTTGTAGTCAACAGAGGAGATACAGCCTGCTACTGCAGAGGCTTCATTGAGACATCGAATCTGTTATAAGAAAAGGCTGTTAGTCTTCTGGGTCGAACTATATACTCAGACAGGGACAGCATACAAGGGAAGGACTGGCATCATCCAGAGGATCAGCGACAGCCCAAGACAGGAAAGCAGCCAGGGGAAAGAAGATAGTAAGCTTCATTTTGGATTGATATTGAACGTGGGTTTAGTGGTGGTATAATGATAGGAGACTAGGAGTATGAAAGTGGAGGAGTTGATCAAGACAGGACGCCCTTGCTCGATTTATCAACCGTCAATCTATTTGCTTGGTACCAGGAGAGACAATGCATTCTTTATCGTAACTGTCTTTTAGCATCAACAAACCCGGTGCCTGGGTGATCTGTGGAATGAGATTTAACTGGAATGTGAGAACATCCAAGCTTTTGGAAATGGCAAGGTTACAATGCCAGACTATGGATTGAATACCACGTCTATTTGTTATATAGACATAATAGAATAATATTTTTGACTTAATTGAATATCCCAAGCAAAAATTGACTGTTAGTGATATGACTCGAGCACTCTTTGCTGGCCACTGAGAGAGTTTCCCACCACAAATCTCAATAAGACACTACTCTTGATTCCTCAAATTAACCCAAGTTATTTACGGGAATACCATTGAGTGCAGAGCTCCAATATACCTCTATGTGCACGCATATTACTCTATTTCTCGGAACCTCTTATGACCGGCTTGACCACCAGCTTTGATGCTGGAGCCTACATCGTACTCCCCAGGTTTTTTGCCTAGTCATTTCTCAATGGATTTTCATTTCTCAGTTCGAGATTCTTATGGCACAATACCAGGAGACGCCTAGTGGTGCAATGCACCTTAAAGAACAACCTGGGGTATCCGTCCACATCACGAAATCACGATTTAGTCAGATACACTGGTCTGTAGGTGATAGGGTCCGTGACGTAGGCCACCCAAGAGCTTAGTCCCGAGTGTGGCTTGGACCTCGACAAGAAGATCGGCTCCAACCGAAGGGACTTCCTAAGCTACATTGGCGAATCGGTGGTCTGAATCCGGCAACGGATGCTACAGCCACCAGAAAGCGCACCCGGTGTCCGATTCGTAAATTGGCAATCCAGCGAATATAGGGGCAAGGTTTACATCCGGGCCAGGCCACCTTAGTCCACACTAGGAATCTGTCAAGCGCTGTTCCATCGATGTCCTCTGCGGGGATGTATTGCGTGAGCACGTTAACGCTAAGTAAAGGGCGTCGTGGGGTATTCTTCATGGCGACGGCCGCGTTGTGTTGGTACACCGGCAAGGAGGAGGTAATTTGGACGATGTCGGCTTGGACTAAGTTGTTAATGCCATCGGATCCTTCAAACCTAGGCCGTAGGAGGAGGAATTGGAATCTCTTTCAGGAGGAAACCGACTTTGATCCGACTTCCGTGATGCCGAACATACCGGCAAGCCTTGCAATTTCGATCAATTCTGAGGTCTTAGCTCCTGGCTCCTGAATTGTGCTATCGATCTTGCTAAGATATAACTAAACCAGGAGGATCTCGAGGCTCTTGACGGGCACCATCGCCAGATGTTGCCAGCAATATTCTCATTGGTATTGACGTGTGCTGGTTCGTAGTGTCCAGGGTAACATTGAGGGATG